TTGCGGGGGAGCCGGGAGGGATTATTACAGGCGCTGGCAGTGGCGATGCTGTCAAGGAGCCTGTGTCAGCACTTCCATTACCACCCACCTGGTTTCTCTGCGGCCCCCGAAGCGGCGCGCGGGGCCGCATGGCCCCAGCGTGGGGTCATTTCTATTCAGAAGAGTTTCAGATCAACTGGCTTTGATTGTGTTTAAATGATGGAGTGTTTAAGAGGGAGAGAGAGGAAATAGGAGGGCGAGGTGGAGGGAGGCATCGCGGAGGAGGGGGAGTTTGGTACTCAGACAAGTGGAAAATAGTTTGAGATGGGAGAAATCAGGAGTTGGGAGAGAAGAGCTGGTCCTCCTGAAGGCAAGTTTCAGATGGCCGCAAGGAAGGACAGGGTGGGGAGAAGATACCCCAGAACCTGGGCAGATGCCCTGGGGTCTACCCAGCGAAGGGCTGTTAGGAAAGAGCAAGCACATCCCCAGCAGGGAAGGTGCTCCCATCAGTGTCCCCTACCCATTGCCACCACCTGTGCCACCTGTGGTAGCAGTCCCTGGGAGGCACCTGGCTGTGCAATAAGCCATCAGCGGAGCTGAGCAATTGAATTCTAAACAATTTATTCCATTTATTTGGCAACGTGCTGAGCTCCTGGGCACAGTGAGCCCTTAACGCCTTGTAAACTTTGCTCATTCAGAGTGACTTGGGAGCATCATCTACTCTGTGTTGTGTGTAGTGACGAGGGGCTGTATACATCACATGCACTCATGGCTGTTGGCGAGTTGGGTCCCTTTTTCCCCATTTAAATACTCTCCAAAACAGCATTCCCCATTCTGCTTGTGAGGGAAAGGCTCTCCCTGCCGAGTTACCCAGTACCGGCCTGGAAACAAGTTGTGGTGCCATCAGCCCTCCATCCCAGGGCACAGACGGAGGGTGGGCACGGGGATGGCTTCATGCCTTCTCACCTGTTTGGCCCCACACTTGCATCCCTGGTACCTGAGCCCGGCTCCCAGGCTGGACCCCGGGCCCCGTTAGCAGTCACATCGCGGTGAATCACGCCTGACTCAGGGGACTCAGGGGAATTATGTCAGATCAGCATTGGTGTAACTGAGGGCAGGATCTGGCCCTCTATCCCCAGCAGGACCAGGAGGGTTCGGTTCAGTCCCCACCTGGGCTGAGATCCATTTGCAGGCGCCCTCCGACGGGGCCCGGTGGACAAATTCCTCCACGCAGGGGTGCGTCTGCGCATCGAGCCCTCTGCTTTCAGAGCAGGAAATATTCGGTTTCAACACTTGGAGTTAAACATTTCCGCGGAGCCCAGGAGACCGTGCAAACAGCGGGAGCACCAAGGCTCTGCCTTTTCATCTCTCTGGCACTGGCGAGTGGGGGGTCAGCAGCGGGGGAAGCACGGCAGAGCTGAGGAGGGTAAACACTGGAGCTGAGCCTACTGAGTAACCAGAGAGCGAAGGGGAGAGAGAGAGGGGCAAAGAAAACAAAAACACAGCTGCCAAAAAACAAAAGCCTGAAAAGAGCCATTCAGGGTCTCCCAGGAGCAGGTTTGGCACAGGGCAGGGAGGGAAGAGAGGGGAGCACTCGCTGCTGGGGCAGGAGTGGGTCCAGTTCGTTTGGGAATATGGACCCTTCGTCCTGCCCTGGGCACATCAATGCCCTCTGCTCCCTTGAGCCGGGTAAGCACCTACACCCCAGCACAGTCCAGCCGCACACCCCGTGCAGCATCCTTTGCTTTTTCGTGGGTACCAGGATGTTCCTGCTCCGGAGAGGAGAGGTGGGATGTGCGCATCTCCCTCCACCTTTGCATTCACAACCAAAACCTGCGGACTCGCGATGCCTATCCTCTCCCTCCCCACAACCCACCATCCCACACCACGGAGCTGGGTACCGCTGCCCGGCTTTACACGCCACAGCGTGGGCGTGTGCCCAGCTCGGGGGCACGCTGCAGATGTGGATGCTGCTGATTTGAGGAGACGCATCCCACTGGCAGCCTCTGTGGCACTGCGGGCATGCAGCAGGTTTTGCAGACCTGGGGAGGCTTGCGTAGGTGTCCTGCTGGCACGGGAGATGATCCCTTCCTTTTGCCTGTCACTTGCACTTAGCCCTGCTCCTGCAAAAGCGCAGTTGTCAGCCCCTTGGGCCAGGAGCCGGGGCTCCTTCTGTCTCCTGCTTTGCAATCTGTACGTCAGGGACTTGGCTGCGTGTCCGGGTCCCTGTTCTCCTGCCCCTCTGGAAGCCCTTGCTTCAGTGCAAGCACCCACCTCCCTCACTCACTGGAGCAAGGGGATCTTCCCCGGCTGTCGCAGGGATGCAGGGTGACGGCTGTCACATCCTTCCTTGGCACGAATTCGTCACCATATCATTGTTGTAGCTGGTGGGTAAGGCCATTGCTGCTCATTTCTCCTGCTGGCCTGGGCTGGGGTTGGAAGTGGCCATGAGAGGCAGCAAGGCTCTTTCCCATGGCCTGAGATCCCTCCTGGTTGCCCTGGCCATTGAAATCCAAAGTCACCTCTGCTTAGGGACATGAACTCCAGGGAAGAGCCCTGGAGAACCAAGCAGGGAGAGAGGACCTGGGCGTGCAGGAGGTTAAAAAAGCCGCCAGCCTTGTGCAACAGAGCTGGTCCCCAGGAGGGACCCCAGTTGCACTGCCTGGGCCAAGGCTGCCCATCCCAGTGCTGCGGTCCGGGATACTCCATCACCTCCACCAGCAAACAAACACCCCTGGGCTCCCTGGAGAGCAGGGACCCTGGGATGCTCAACCTCCGGTTCACCCTCCCCGGTGCTGCCGAGAGCATCCCTGCCCCACCAGCCCAAGCTGTGGGTGGCAGGCGGAGGGGACTCGGGGCCCCCACGGCAGTGGCCTGGGCTGGGAGCGGGGATGCGGCGCGGTAGGGCGGAGGGCAGCCTGTTTACCCGTCCATCTGCACACCCCACAGCAGGGATCCAGCAGGATTTCCCGTCCGCTCAAAGGCTGCCTGTTTATTTTGGGAGGGAGACTCAGACGGCTCCATTGTTTTGCTGCTGCGAAGTTGGGGTTATAAATAGTAGGTGGTCGGGGACGCTCCTGGGCTATTTTGGGCCCCCGCTACACAAAAGTGGAAAAGCTCCAAGAGGAAGGTGGAATTACTGAAATGCCGACCTTTCCCGCAAGGGTCAGCGGGAGGTGGTTGTTTGGGTTTGGGTTGGGTTCTGGACATTATTTAAACACAAGGGAAGGAGGAGAGAGGAAGATGGTCCTGGTTGGACGGGCTGCACGCTGTGTCCTCCCCGGCAAAAGGGTGGTGGGGATGAGGAGCCGAGGTGCCGGGGCTCTGCCGGGGCTCTGCCTGGAAGCCGTCAGGAGCGGCTCACATCTGGAGGAGAGACTGGCTGAGTTTTCCTCCTGGCTCTGCAAATGGGAGAGTTCCCAGTGGCTGGAGAAGCTGTGGAGGCAGGGGATGCCCCGTAGCCCCTGCTCCACGTTGTCCCTCGTGCCTTAGTTTCCCCCCACCTCCTATACAGAGGCTAAAGAAAAGGGTAGGCAACGTCCTGGCAACAGCCCCGCTCCCTCCAGGCACGTACGCTGTGTCCTGCGGGAAGGCAAGGATGAGCCAAGGTGACTCTCAAACTTATTTCACACCCTTCTTCTCGTTAAATGCCCGCACCAGGCGGTTATACAGTGAGCAGCAGGGACCCAGTAAAGCCGCTCACACCAATGTTTTATACTTTGAGAAGGTCTATTCCTTTAATGGGGATTCATTTAACTGGGCTCTGCCATCGTTAGGAGCCATAAAATGGCACCTTTTGGCTCTTGATTGGAAGGCCACGGTGCACGCAGCCCCCCTCGTATCCAGCGCCGGCTGCTTTATTGTGCATTACTGCCTCTCACTCGGATTTAACCAATTTGATCCATGTCTAATACATAAATAAATAATCCAGCAGGAGGGTTCACGTTAGATGACAACAGGCGGCTATAAAGCATGTTTCTCCCCGCCGGAGCCATCTGAGCCGGGCTCCGCACGCCCTCTCATGAGCAGAGCTGCTAATACAGCTGGGAGAGGGGGGCCTGGAGACCCGCCGGCTTCTCTGTTTTATTGAAACTTCATTGTTTGCTTTAGAGTTTTATTTTATGTTAAATAGACGCTGTATATTCGTTACATAGGGGGCAATAAAGTTTCCAAGCTGGAGGAAATTGGCTTAGGAGCAGGGAGTGAACCAGGGAGATGTGGCTGGGCAGGGTAGCGGCGGGGAGGATTTGGGGTGAGGAGGGTTTGAGGCAGCACCCCGCTTCCAGGGCAGACCCAGGGCTCAGCCCAGGTCGGGTTTGGGGTCTGCAAGCACCCCCAGATCTCACACAGGGATGATGCAGCCCCAGAGGACTTGGAGTGAGGGCGGCTGTGGGGTCCAGAGCTGCTGGTGGTGTGGAGAAGGTGAGCGTCCCCATCCCAGACCGGGCATGGGGTGAGCAATCCCCGGTGACCGCCGGGGCAGCCGTGCCGAGCATCCAAGCTGCTCCCTGCCATCCACAGCCCTGCGCCGCGGGGTCTCCTCTGCCTCCCCACCATGGAGAATCACTCTGCCCTTCAGGGGGGTGATCCTGACCCACTCGACTTCAGGAGTGCCGAGAGCGATGAAGATGGCTCTTCTTAATTTACTGTCATTAGTTAATAGGAACAGTGGGTAGTGCTGCATCATCCATCTGTCCCAAGTCACACTGCCTGCACCACAAAGTGGGGAAGCCAGGGCTGCACAGGGTCAATCCCAAAATGTGGCTGTGGCTGCTCTCCCTGTAAGACTGGAGGGCCCACGGCCGGGGCTGGGATGCTCTCAGGTCACTGGCTGTCCCGCTTCAGAACAGAGCCAGTCCCTGCCCCAGGGAGCGTGGGACAGGGAGAGAAACAGGGTTACACTGGGAGAAAAACCCCGGGTTTCAGACCTCAGCTCAGACAGGGACCAGGGCAGACTGCAGGCGACGCTGATGGCAGCCGATCAGAGCTAAAGCTTTCTCCCCTCTTTTTCCTCCCTGCAGGCAAAAAGAAAGCGACTTTGTTTGACAGCCAGGCTCCGATCTGCCCCATCTGCCAAGTCCTCCTTCGCCCCGGGGAGTTGCAGGAGCACATGGAGCAGGAGCTGGAGAAGCTCACCCAGCTGAACATCAGGTAAGCAGCTCCCTGGGGTCCACCAGCATCCCCGGTTAGCCAGCCGGGGCACCCGCAGACGGCAGAGGAGATGGTGGTACCCACAGCTACCCGATACGGGAGATTTAGTGCTAGCCAGCAGGGCAGGAACATTTCCCTGGCGTTCACCACAACGGTAAAGCCAGGCAGAAATGCGTCCCGGAGGGCACAGACACCCCTTTCCCTGGGGATGTGTGTTCAGGTGAGCATCTCTGATGTTGGTCATGTCCCACAGAATCACAGAATGTGTGATGTCTCGTGATGGAGCAGGTCTGCAGCAACGGTGTGCACTGCCCCTCGGCTGCCTTCAGCTCCCACCTTCTTCCCTCAGCACGGCAAAGTCCCCTATTTAAAAAAATAATAATAATAATTGCGTTTTAACTGCTAGCAGTTATTTAGGAAACGGCTGCAGCCAAGGGTTGGCAGATCCCTGCCCCTGCCTTAATAAAACTCAGCAGCCTTGGAAAAGAGTGTGTTTATTTCAATTATTAATGAATTCCCCGGTCATTAAAAGGTGAGGAAAAGAATCAAGCTGCCGACTAGAAGCAAAGTTACGTCACCAGGTGGTAGGAGAGGAGGGAGAGCGCATGTGTCAGTGTGTGTGTGTGTGTGTGTGTGTGTGTGCATGTGTGCCAGCGCACGGGGGTGTGCATATTGCGGGGGATGCAGAATCCATCCCGGCCCGGTTTGGATCGTCTTTGCAACTGAGTGATAGCTATTGCAGATGAAGGGAGGAGGAAGCAGCTTTAGCTAGAGAAAGAGAGACCTCCCCAAATGGGTCCAGGCTGAGATGTCCCAAATTTGGCACCCGCAGCCCCGGGCTGGGACCCGCATCCCCCACGCGCTGCACAGGAAGATGGAGAAGGGGGGGCGGGCAGGGAACAGGCAGCCCATTTATCCCCCGCGACACCCAGTCCCCTTGTGAGCGTAATTTATGGTGTAATTTGGGCTGCATCCAACTTAATAAAGGGCCACTGCAAATTAGTGAACAGGTTTAAATGAACAGAAGCAATTAGTGCTCGGAGGAGCCCATCAAAGAAGTTGGGCCAATATCAGAGTGAAACTGAAACCGCAAGCCAGGAGCGGAGGCTGGCTGGCGCGAGGCGGTGATGGGAAGGTGGCGTTTAATGGGAAAGGAAAGGAAACCCTAAATCATAAAGCATGACAAGGGCCATTGTGGGCCAGCTGACAAATGAAAAAGAATGGCATTATTCCTTTAAATAACAGCAGCAGTTAGAGAGGAGACAGCTCTCCCTGGCTTGCCCTCGCTTCCCTGGCCCGCTCCGCTCGGCCACGCAGGCGGCGAAGAAGAATCAGAGGTCTTTATTAATTATTAAATAACGACTCCCTCCGTAGCGTGATAGATAACGTTCAATCTAGTCGATGGATTCAGGCGATGGAGGCTAATCTGTAAACGCAGCAGCTCTGCGCGGGGACGGTCTCTCCCAGTCCCGGCGGGGAGTGATGCAGGGTCCAGGCAGCAATCGCAGGCAGCAATCGCAGGCAGCGAGAGCGGGCAGCAGGATGCGAGCGGGTCGAGCTCCTGCACGCTGCCCAGCTCCGGTGGGACGGCTCGGTCTAGCGGGTGGCCCCTTCTCCCATTCCCCCACCTTTCCCGCCTGGAGGAGCCGGGAGCAAGAACACATCAACAAGAGGAGAGAGAAACTAATAATGATCTCAAATAACCCAATAAACATAAAAATAAAATGTAGGCCTATAAACGTGACGGGCACCGGCAGCCCTGGCCGCTCCCTGCCAATACCGACTCGTTACCGAAATGGCTGAGCAGCTGTTACTTATCAGTCTGATGGGGAGAAGCGAACCAGGGGGGCTGCTTTCCAAGGGCCTTTTTTTTTTTTTTAATTTAAAGAGGATGCAGCCAATCATGGCTTGTGCTGTTAAGTTTTAATAAACCTTAATGATTTGCAACAAAATCATAAATTTCCAGCGCTTGGGGTTAGGAAGGCAGATCCCCTCCTGCCCGCTGAGCCTGCAGCACCAGAGATGGGCTCCCCCAGCAAAGGGCCTGCCGTAGAAGACAGCATCAAGAGGAGGGGAGAGGCTGGTGGAGAAGCGAGGTGGAGGGGCTACCCCGCGCCATCGCCTCTGCTGGGTGTTGAGCAATCACGTGGGCTTTTGGGCATCGCCAGCTTGGCATCATTCGGAGGAGGGCAGAGGAAGGGAAGGAGGAAAAGGGGTTCCTCCAGGTGGTCACAGGAGCTTCTTGGGGCTGAGATACAAGGGAGCTGTAGGAGCCGCCTGGATGGTGCTACCCGTGGTCCCAGCTCACCGAGAGCCTGGGGTTGCGTTCCACCCACACCAATGCACCCCTTCCTCAGCTGGTGGGGATGGGATTTGTTAGCCCCCAGGGACAGGGACAGCCCTTCTTCCCCATGGGCAGCACTGGTGTGACCATCCTGCCCTCAGGGCAGGGACATCTCAAGGTCTGCCCAGCTGGAGCATCATGAAGTGAGGCAGGAGGAGCCATGCTGAGCCCTAGGGCAGCACCCCCCATGCCAAGGGGCTGTGTGTGCCCAGGGGATGGACACCAGCCGCTGGACCAGTGATGAACATCACTCAGAAGGATCCAACCCTGGTGCAGGCTCAAGTTTTCCCTTGCAAAAGCAGGCTTGAGTGGGAACGAGGGACCTGAGTTTCTAGCTCTGCTGCCTTCTTGGTACGTCCAGTCTCCCCAGGCAGAGGGAGAGACCTGCTTGTGTTCGCCCCACGGCTCCTCCACCCCGCACCGGTCCGGCCGAGCCCCGTGCACAGCTCCGCGTGGCGAGGCAAGGCTCTCTGAATGCAAATTTCATTTCTGAGCCACTGGCGCTGTTTCAAGAGCCGGCAGCCTCCGAGCCCTTCTCGGTGTTACATATGTAACAGCCTCATTGAACTTGACATGTCAAATTCAGGCCATTTGTGCAAAATCTCCCTTTAATAATACCGTTTCATTTCGCTCAAATGAGACTTGAATGCATGTAAAATGGAAAAGGATATTTAAGCGCTAACATTAGGCAGATGTCTTGCCAGAGGCCGATTGAATATATGAGATTTTGAAGTGCTTAACACGTTTTCGGTGCTCCCTCTTAGAATATGTCACCTGGCTTTCTTTTTTCTCCCTCTCCTTTCTTTTTTTCCTCCCCCTCTTTAAGTGAAGGGTATAAATTGAAAGAAAACAAAACTACAAGCCTTGGTTTTATGGGGTTTAACTCTTGCCGGGCAAGACTATTGGTATTCCTCCTCCAAAGAGGAATTACCTAGCAGCTCACCTTCGCGGAGCACAAGCACAAAGCAGCCGAGGGCGGGAGGCGGGCGAGCAGCGCTGCGCAGAAGGGATGCTCTCCTTGTGCTGCATGTACAGCTCGGTGAGCCAAAGGCGCCGGTCCCCAGCTGAGCAGCTAAGTGCCACCAAGGTAAAAATAAGAAATAATAACAGCCACCCTCTGTGTACGCTGATGCCCTGTGCCCCAGCCAGACCGGTCGCCGCAGAATACATGAATATTCCTGGCTTGTGTGCGTGAAGCTTATCAGTGCGCTAGATGCAGGTCTCCGGTCCTCACTCAATTTATATTCACTTGTTTTACACCTCATCCGTATTTAAAGGCTTGCCATAAAGCACACTGAAATGTGAGACTCTTTCTGGAGCTGCCAGTGGCCCCAGCTCCGAGCTTTGACTGGTGCTTCGGCTGCGGACGCGTGTCCCCAGCCCAGGGCCACCCAGGGAGCGCGGGTAGGCGCAGCGTTCGTGGTGGGAGGGAAGATGAGTTGGGGGACAAAAGAGGGGGAAAGGAGGCAATAGGAGCTGTGGAGCGCACCTCAGCACCCCAGTGGGTCCATGGTGCTTTCTGAGCCCCTGGCTGGAGTTTGGGGAAGAGGCATTTATTGGCCATTTAAAAAACCTTAGGAAGCCACATTACAAATATTACAGTTGCTGAGTCAAGCACTTGAAAGTTGGGAAATGTGCTTTTTAAGATGCTCTGTTCTTGAAAATGCAGTGCTCCTTTTAAAAAAAAAATTATTTGGCAGGGGTCATTTTTATTTCCTTGTGTGACAGCTAGCAGATTCTTCCCTGCGTTACCAGCAGCAAACCTGTGCTTCAGAGCTGTGATTTCACCTGCCCAAAAGCGTGAGGTGTATCATTAGAGCTGGGGAATGGTCCAGAGGGTGGAGCAGCGAGCTGGACCACGCCGACTCTGCTCCTGCTTTTGCAGCTGAAGGACGGTGTGAGCTCAGACAGGACTACCTCAGCTCTTTCCCCTTATTTAAAGGGGTTTCTAAGCTTGCCAGATGTAGCCGGCAGTGTCTTCATGCCATGCTGGAATATTACCTGTGCCTGTGCTATGGCATCCCGGGGCTGGGCATGGTGCAAGAGCCGCCTGGGATGCTCAGCGGGTGCCGCCAGGGATGGATGTACGTGGGTGGGCAGATGGGGGGGTGATGCTGTTCTCACAGTGCACCTTGGCTGTGCAAACCCTCCCCTTCTTCACTTTTCCTCCTTTCTTCGAATGGTTAATCTGAGCATATTTGTATTTTAAAGCCCTTGCCCACCTGTTGGCTGTTCCCAGCCTGGGCTAGCAGCTCTCAGGGACACATCCCTGACCACCCAGCATATCAGGAGCTACTGATTCCCCCTGGTGACCTTTCTGGTGTGTCAGGGAATAATTTCTCTTCTGATTCTCTGATTACGAAGCATTTCCCGGAACACAGAGGGCACCGGGGTCTCTCACCTTGGTGCAAATGGAAAGTGCTGTGAGCTGTTTTCTGGTGACCTCAAAGATGCTGTCGCAAAGAAGGAACCAAATAGTGTCAGGGCAGAGCAAGATGCAGTGGGAAGGCCTGTTTCAAAGCAGGTAGAATGCCCAGATGGGGGATTTAGCCTGACTCTTGAAGGCAACTTTGATTCATGTCAGAGGAAAAGAGCCATCTATGGGACTGTGGTGCTCCAGTTCCTGTAGCAGCTCTCAGTGCACCTCTGCCCAGGC